GTTAAGGCCTAAGAAATGAGAAACAAGCCAAAGATACAAAGATATATGTGAATAGTGTGACACAAGGTCTGAGCTTCTCTATAACAAAAGGAGGGAGAAATGTAGATAGTGGTGTAAATTATACTATAACCTAAAAAATCTGATTCTGTTGTGAATCATAGGACACTTTCCTCAGTTACTCTGTGCTAGTTTGGGCCCATCATGTCACCAGTCTTTAATGTTTAAGCCAATTATTTTCTTGGTTAGGTATGGTGTGCAAGAAACACAAATTCTAGGAAAAATTTGCATTGTAATTTCAACACATTAGCCAGGCATAGCAGTTTCTAGCAGCCTCAGGCAGCTAGACTACATTAAAAAAGCAATAATTTTAAATTACTATTATAACATTCATAATACTTTACTTGATAACAGATTCTGTGTTCTAAGTTTGCACAACTTTTTCATTTAAGATAATCTACATATTTAACATTGAAACGTATTTGTCTGGATAACAGGTAATCTTACAGCATGAATTATTTTTGCTTTGCTAGATATAAAATATTTATAATATCCATAAGGGAGATACAAAATATATTTTAATGGACAAGGATTAATTGATTCTGGTGTCAAAATACTATTAATGTTGAACATACTGTTATATTAGATATCATGCTAATTTATATACGCAAAATTATTTTCTATGCCGTTACTGCTAATTTTGGATATTTAATTATACAGTATCCTTTGAATAATTCTTTTCTAGAATAAAAAAGATGTTTTTATTTTAGTTTGGAAGTTTGTAATTTTTGTTTTGTGTTTTTAAGAAAAAAGTAATTGTTTAGTATATTAGCTTTTATTTAGTTACAGTAGAGTAATATCCATCCATGTCTACTCAGGTAAGCCCCATTGGTTTTAATGAAATACATTAATTTTACATAAAAGTTATAGGCTGCAAACATTTTTCCCTCTACATCTTCTGGAGTAACATTTTCTTATACCTGAATAAAACATCCTTTTATTCATGTCAGAATGACACATTTTGCTATCTCCACATCATTTGAGATTGACCAGTGAAAAGGATTGGGTTGTTTGTCTTAAAATCTTTTGTCAGGCCCTGTTTTACATTATATACACAATTTTATCATATCCTATCTGGTGTTTTTTTTTGTAAAGGTAGTTTATGAGCATTTAGATATACGGTATTTTTAGATGCATTTAAATATACCGGTAGACACATGATTTAGACATTTAGATACATGAGATATACATTTAGATACATGATTTTAGATACAGGTATTTGTAAGTTTTTACAGGGAAATTCTACATTGGATGAAAATTGTAAATTAACATTGTGTTGTATTCTTTTTTGTTAAGTGGGACTTCAGGTTAGATGTACAAGTAAGGCCAGAACATTTGAAGAACATCAGATTGGAAAAGACTGCTTTTAGCCACTGGTTAATGGTTGCTGGAGACTGCCTAGTGTTTATAAGATTAATATTCTACAGTCTTCTCTTGCCCGTCACATTTCTAGGGAACCCTCAGTAGCATAGAATTTTTTGCAAGTAAAAAAGATATCTCTTTTCTAGCCATCTTCTCTACAAAAGAATACTACAAAATAATGAGCTGTCTTTCATGTAGAGTAGTAAAGCTCAGAATATGATTGGGAAAGGTAAATCTATTCTTTTCTTTGATGTATTGAAACACTTAAAATGTATTGCTTCAAGACAAGCACACTAATATTTAATATTTAGATATCAAGAATTACAGACTAATGAAACTTTGGATTATTATTCATATGCCACCTCACATCTCAATATCTGCATATTGATCCATATCTTCAGAGGGCTTTCATCACATTACAATATAATATGTAAACAGATGCTCTAATTGAGGTTAATTTTCAAAGACCAAAGTCAGTGTAACAACTAAGGATGTAACCTGATACACTACTTCTTTTTTACTCTAAAAAGTCTTATGCATCAGTGGCATACTTCTTCGAAATAATATTGGTGCTGTTATAACATATTGCCATAATTTGGAAGAGATATTTTACAAATATACTTTTATATTTTCAAACTACTTAGACTTCTCCTTCCTTTTAACCTGCAGTGTGTCCCTTTATTTATATTCCTTCAATTCATTTTTCTCTGTGACTAAACCACCTCAGTCCATATCTTTCATATTGGTGATTTTTGGAAGCCACTCAATCTCCATAAACTGAGACTTCCAAACAGGTGCAGTTATTGCCACCTCTGAAACTCTAGTAGCTTCCAAGGGCACTACTCTACTAGATATAAAGCCTTATTTGTAAAATTGGGCCTTATTGCATCATAAAAGATTTATTTATTTATTTTATATCCTATCATTATTTTTATAAAGAACTCAAGTGCCCAGCTGGCTTTCATGGCTAAGGTGGGGATTGAATTTACAATCTCCCGCTTTCTAACCCAATGCCTTAACCATTAGACCAACCTAGCTCTTGCTGCTTGTGTACCGGTCTCGCTGCTACACAACCACTTCCCTACCTTGCTTGTTGGATGCTGTGGCCAGATTGGCACTGGAGTTTCCCAGACTTGTTGTTCTTGGAAACTTCAACCTGCTCATTCTGGGGCCCCAGGTTGGAGGTGGCTCAGGAGTTAGCAACCATGAATGTGACTCAAGTTTTAGACAGTCCCATGCTAGACTTGGCTTTTTCTCAGGCACTCATAATATCACCACTGGGGGTTGTTGTCATTAGTCATTTGTCATGTACACATTATACTCTGTTAGCCTTAGATCCTCTATGGCTATGGAAGGACCAGTTTAATTGGTCTCAATTGGTCTGTCAGTTTGATTGAGTTTTATTTTATTTTATTTTATTATTTTATTTTATTTTATTTTTTCCACTTTTATCATTTTTACAAATAACTCAAGGTGATGAACATATCCAACACACCTCCCTTCTCCTATTTTCTCCACAACAACAATGCCATGAGGTGGGTTGGGCTGAGAGAGAGTGACTGGCCCAAAGTCACCCTACTGGCTTTCATGACTAAGGCAGGACTTGAACTCAGGGTCTCTTTCTAGCCTGGTGCCTTAACCCACTAGACCAAATGGGTGATGGCAAATAAATCAGTTGATGCCTATATGAACTCTCTGTGCTCTTGGGCCTTAGAAATTCTTTTGGTTTTTAGAGAAATCCTGAGAGATAAAATGGCATAGGAGATGTCTGGAGCACTAATGGACCAAAAAATGAACAAGAGCAAGCATAGTTAAGAATTTTCGTTAAAATTATATTATGGCAACAAGAATAGCAAAACATAACTAATTGCAATGGAATGTGTTGATGACCTGGGGAGACGAGGGAAAGAGATGCTGCCTAGGGAATGATTAACCAAGAGAGGGAAGAGCTCGCAGTTGTTAATAGTCAGATAAAAAAACTTAAGAAGGGCCTGCCCAAACTGATCAGTTAAATGTGGTGACAGGAAGTTTGTACCTTCAGACTTATGTTAGCCCTCCTGGGTAAACCAGACAGGAAACATATTAGATGAGTTAAATCTACTTTATTGTAAGGCTACATTAACAGAATCTTGCAAATCTGAAAGTACAAAGTACAAAGCACTCATGGCTTCTACTTAAAGAGCGGGTAGTAGTCATAGCCAGGAGAGTCTTTGCACAAAGCCACATTAGTTGTGGGATCACCCGTCTCTGATATTTCAGCCTCCCCCAAGATCTGGTAGGGTGGGAGGCTATGCATACCTTCTGTGAAACAATGTCAATCAAAGGGCCCCAGGAGGATACCTGGGGAGCCTGCCCTACGGAACAGTCTCACCTTTGAGATTTAAACAATCTCTAATTTGTTGTCTTTTGGAAAGCCCTAAATGTTGGGACTAGGAGGTTTATTGGAACTTAGTATGTAAGTTTGGTTTTTAGGCTTCAGATAATTTTTAAGGTTCCCTTGGCTACGCAGTTGCTTGTTTTTTGTTGCTCGCCAGAGTTATGGTTAAGAGGGATAGCTATAAAAATTTGCTTAGTAAATAAACAAGCTTCAATCCACAAGATCAGGCCCCCTTCATTTAGATTTTTAATTCTTTCTCTTGGTTTCACTTGTGCACAGCATATATATTTTTCTTTCTTTAATTTCTCTCTCATTCATCATACACAAATTTATTTATTATTTATTTATTAAACTTGTTTACCACCCATCTTACTACGAGGTGATTCTGTCACTTATTATGGTTTTCGTCCTTCTATACTACCAATTTTTTTTTGAAAAAGATAATAAAAGTGTAAAGTAAGTTATTGGCCTTAATTGTGCCAGTGCCACCTGCAGCATGCTGTGCTCAGTATTAGTCTGTTTTGGCTCATTTTGGCCAAGATACTACAGCCCAGCAAACTCATACTGTTCTATGCAAGCTACACCCTGTAATTTAGAGACTATCAGCATTCTGCCAATTTAGAGGTTAATGTAGTGTACTCACATTCAGTCATTTAATACTTTTGACCACTGTGATTCTATTGACTTACAGAAATTCAGAGTGAAATGCTGTAGAGTCCAAACCAGGATTGAGAGTTTCCTGCATTATATCAAAGTAGAACTCCTTTTCTCCCATTCCAGTTTTTTTTCATTTAACTCTTTCTGTCCTTATTAAATAAATTAAAAGTGTGGGGTTACTCATTTTATTTATTTCTCTCACACCAATTTTTTTTTTACATTTATTCAGCTTCTTTCTCCTTTCATCCACTTCCTTATAGTTTGCTACTAGCCTTCCTTCCTCAGATTTGAATTCTATTTTTGTGACTTATTTGACAATATTACAGAAACAGCAATGAAATATATATCAAACGTTGTATTCTGTTATTATTTGTAGGTCTATTATTATCTTTAGAATTTTATGTCTAATGGCAGATAGAATATTTCTCCTTCTAATTAATGTTTCTTGACATTGCAGTATTAAAGAACAATCCATTTCACTTCTTGCTGCCACATTCTCCCATGAGTTAACCCTAAATTATTTTTTCCCATTAGAACAAGTCTGGACATGCCCATGGCAAGACACCATTCTTGGGTTACCCCTCCCAGGTAGGTTTTCTAAAGCTTTTTCAGAGGGCTATTACATCCCATCCTTTGAGATATTGACTATAGAAACAGCTTCCAAAAGACATATTTTTGCTTTAATTTTTCCATCTCTTGAGCCAAATACTCAAGTTGCCTAGAAAGATAGACCTGAAACTACAAGAAATCTTCACTTTTAGAATGTGTTGTGGATTGTACATTGCTCTGAGTCATCTAATGAATATTCAGTTTACATCTTTCCCAGGAATCTAGTTATGTATGAATTGTAAATAAGTATCTGTTGATTGATACATGTATTTTAGATATATCACTAACTAGAAATAATTCCTTTATTAATTTTCAGAGATATAAATACAAACATTCTGTTCAGATCTTGTTAGGCTTTTAATTGTATCATAGTTCTGTGGAAGAACTTGATACCCTGGCCTGGTGCCTTTCAAAAGTATTAGGGGATAAAATTGGTGACAGCTGTGGTAATGGTTTGGCAGTAGAGTGGATTGAAATTTAAAAGGTGTGAGACTTAAAACTCAGCAATCAGATCACTAATATTTAGTAATTATTACCATGTTGTGTTTTGAGTTTTATTGTTCTCAGAACAAAATAAAGGAGCTATTCATCACATTAAATTAGTCACCAGTTTATTTTGCATTTTTCTGAGATATTTTCATCTGTAGCTTATTTTCAGGTATTTTAAATATTGAGAAGAAATGTGTTATTTCGGACAATAATCAGTTAACAAACTGATGAATGATTGGGGGTATTTTCTAGCCTTATTTAGGGTACTTACCAAGTAGTAAAGACTATTGCTAGGTAAGAACACGGATCAGTTTGTTAGTGCCTCAATCAGTATCTTTTATTGTGCTTTGATTTCTGCCTTAACTGAGATGTTTGACAATCACAGCAATGGCAAACAACAGGACTCTAGCCCTTTAGCTGACAATAAAAAAGTCCCACAGTGTTTGCAAGTGATTGTCTAGTAAGAACAAGAAAGATGTCCAAGATAAATAATGAAGCTTTCCTCGCTCTGATATCTTCTGCATATACCATGAAAATACTGCATTCACTATCCCAAGTCAGAATTGGAGTTATTATTTTTAATTATCATTATTCAATTTACTTGTATGCCTTTGTTTCTTGAAACAGGAGCTCACTTTATCTGGAAGACACTAGACTGAGGAAAGCTGCTTTAATATATTACAGGAATTGCTGTGTTTACCTGAAACAATATAATTCTGTTGCAGTATTTTGTTTCCAACAGTCCCTAGACTAATGTTACCTGGATATTTCAGATAATGAAGGCTTTCCCAAGTAGCTATAGCAATTTTAAGTCCAAATATTTTGAGTAAACTGAAGGTAAGAATCTTCTGGAGCCCGTAAGGATGATATGAACATGGGCACTGTGCTTAATGGCAGATAACATACAGAAGTTTGAGTTTGGTTTAGAATGGTAATACAAATTTTATGCTCTTTTTAACTAGAAATGATGCCTAGAGAATTAGTGCAAAAGATGCAGAATTTATTATATTACCAGAAAGCTTCCAGGCATAATTTGTACAGATATTTTCAAACTCACCTTATCAGAAAATAAAATTTCTGAAAAGTAACTGGTATGGGGTAAGACTAAGAATTTTCAATGGGCTCAAATTTGATAAGACATCAAGCTCATGTCTTACTATCGGTCACCAGTTACCAGCTGAATCATAAAGTACAATCAGAGATAAAAAATATTTTTTGCTACATATGAATAATTCACTTATGTGGCTGATAGTTACGTAGTGCTGAATCCAGTAGTCAGTAGGTGGGAAGAAATTGATGTATTCTAGAAATCACTTAAATAGTTTCTTCTTTAGTAGAAGAATTAATGTGTTGGTAAATCATTTTGTGTAATAATGTGCAAAAGGTTTTCAGTTACATGTATTGTATCAATCTTGGTTAAACAACCAAAAGTGCAGTTATCCCACCCAAACAAACTTTCTTGATACTCTTTTTTTTAAGTTTTATTAATTTTTAAGAATTACAATCTTTAGAGCTTAGTAAACAACATGTTGTCTGGGTTCACATATTTAATATTAACTTCTTCAATATAAATCTATTCAGTACTGCACAATCCAGTATTTTTCCCCTGATCCTCCTTTCTTCCTCATATTTTTCCATTTCACCCTCATTACACAATTCTAATTCTTGGTACTATTGATGTATATAAAGTTAGATATAAACATCTTCATCGTATTTTACTAATATTATACAAATAACAGTAGTATCAATTCATAAATCAATATCCTGTTTTTCATACTCTTGTTAAAGTTTGATTTCCCATCAATATTTAAAGGATCTTTGTCAGTTATGATTTTCTCAATTTTAATTACATTTATATAGCTAAAAATTTATATACCAATCCTCTTCTAATTTTCATATCTCCCATATCAAAAGAAGAAAAAATGCTATTTTAATTCTAAATCATATCTTTCATTATAAAAGTAATTAAATCTAAGAGTCATTCATTATTTTAATCATATTCAAACAAGTATTTAAACATATGATGCCCCCTCTAATAGGTCAAATCTTCTATTTCTTAAATCTAACTCTCACTTTCTTTCTTTGCCAAGTAGCTTTCCAAGCCAAGGCAATTAAGTCGCCCAAGAATTTTCTTTCTATTTTTATGAGTTGCTTGGCATGAGGAAGACAATTTAGGTAGGGTATTTTTTGGGGGGAATTCCGCCCATTTATGTTCCTCAAGCAACTCCCACCTTCCTTCTCCCTCAATTTCTCCCCTCATCTTTTGTCTCCCAAATTGTAACATTTTCCCTGACAGCTCTATGTTTCATTCCCCAAAATCTTCTTCCTTGTCATCAGGTGCATCTTGCAGACTTAAAGGGTAAAGGGTCTTTTGCATTTTCATTGTTATGGGTAAGTCTTGCAGTATTTTATTTGTATATGATAGTTTATATTTCCCTTCTTTCATCTCTTCTGTCTCTGGGCCCATTTCCTCTGCTTCATCTTCTGATCTCTGATTTATTTGTTCATACTTTGTAGTCGCCTGGGAACTTTCTAGTTGTAGATTTAATTTGGAGATTTGCTCATTTATATTATCTAAATTATTTTTAGTCTCATTATGATTTCTTTTTATGTCCTCTTTGTATGCAACAATTGTTTGGTGAATTAGTTGTAGAGTAGAGTATATTTCCTTCTGAAAGGTGTTTTTTTTTTCTTGAGGCATCATTCCTGGAGATCCTCTAATATCATCAGTCTCAGTAAGAGTAAAACGAAGTTTCCTCTAGCTTTCTGGTCTTTATATGTAGCTTGTATAATCCAATAATTCCAGAATACAGGTCCAGTCCCAAAAGCAATATTTTATAGTGATCCTTTGTCTCAGGCATCCAAAAATTGTCAGTCATGCAAGGTTATAATCCACAATGTTCAAAGTTTCAAAGTGTTCAACCTCCTGAAAACAGCTCAAAAGTGTCTCCCAGCCAGACATAATCAAAGGTCAAATTTTTCTTTCTCTCCCACTAGCTCTTGAGATTAAAAGACCAAGCTCAGTAGGTGTTTATAGTTCAAAAAGGTCAGGGTGATAAGTATCGCAAAATATTTTCCTTTGTTGCCAGCTATTCTCCCTTAAGCTAGGAGTCGCCAAACAGCCAGGAAGCTAGTCAGAGTGCTGTATTCAAATCCACCACAAGATGTCATTCAAAATCCATTTTCCACTCTTAAGATAAAGGATTGATTTCTTATATTTCACCTCAATGTTTTTTTTCTAAAGAGAAAATCTTAACAATTATTTCAGTTCTCAAATTTCAAAACTGTAGCTTTATGTTACTGCCACTTCAATATTGTGTATTTCTGTCCCCCATAGAAATTAAAACGCCACTTCCATTCACATTTGGAGGTTTTTAGCTTCTTGAGAGTCTTTCCCAGGAAATTCAGTTGTAAAATAATAAAGAAAGGATCAATATTCTCAACCAGTTCCAAACATGCTGTTTACAATGTGTTAATTAGTGCTTTTCTTCTCAGAACAAACGGAAAGACCACTGTCTTTCCGTGATCAACGAGACACCCCTCCTTCATCGCCTCTTCGGAGTGACTTTAGGCCCTTTACAGGGCCCCCAGCAGGTTGTAATTGGGCGCGGGAGCGTCTCGGACGGAAGGACGCAGACAGAACGGTGTTGCGTTTTGGCCTTCAACAGAACTATAAGAAAAATTACTTAGTAGTGTATACCGACGAGTCGATAGACGGTATTCCGTAAACTATTTCATCCAACACCGTTCTGTCTGCGTCCTTCCGTCCGAGTGCCTCCCACGCCCGATTACAACCTGCTGGTGGTCTTTCCGTTTGTTCTGAGAAAAGCTTTCTAAACCGGCAGGGGAAAGACTGGCTACATTCCTATGGCCAGCAATTAGCTGCTGACAACTGAAGAAGAAAAGCACTAATTAACACATTGTAAACAGCATGTTTGGAACTGGTTGAGAATATTGATCCTTGGAATACTGCAGCCAGTTTTGGTCAACATATCACAAAAAAGATGTTGAGAGTTTGGAAAAAATTCAGAGAAGAGCAACTAAGATGATGAAAGGCCTGGAGACTAAAACATACGAAGAACAGCTGTAGGACTTGGGTTCGGCTAGTCTAAAGAAAAGAAGAAATAGGGGAGACATGATAGCAGTATTCCTGTATCTGAGGGGCTGCCACAAAGTAGAGGGGTCACGTTATTCTCCAAAGCACCAGAGGGAAGGATAAGAAACAATGGTGGTGTTTCAAACCTTTCTATATTAATTTTGTAAAAACAGAATATTTTTATTCCTATTAAAAAGTTGTTTTTCCTGTTTAGAGTTCCATTTTATGCCTAATATACCGCTCCAACTTTTGGAATAATGTCAGTCAACATACTTCTTCCATACAATATCATACTCATCTTGAATACAAGATGTTTCTACAGTACTTCTTTCCCACACATCCAGATGTTTGGAGTAGAAAGAGATTTTATCTTGTTTCTTTACATCATAAATAA